CATGCCGTCGCCCGTGTCTGTCGGGAGGGTGGCGCACGCGTTGCACGCGACGTCCGGGTAGCCGACATGAACATCGACGTCCTTGTGAGTGACGCGCGGTGCAACGAGGTCGTCGCCAACGGCCTATATCCCTGTGGCACGGAGCGCAGCTCGCGCTCGATGCCACAATCGTCAGCCCGGTCACGCAAGCCGGAGCCGAAGCCGGGTGCGGACACCCGCCCTGGCGCCCGTCCACGCAGCCGCCCGCCGCAAGCGCAGCGGCGCCAAACTTACGCCGAGCGCGTGAGCGCGCGACGGGCGCGCCTCGTCGTTATTGGGATCGAGGTAGGCGGGCTGAAGCTGAGACACGAAAAACAACATCCGCAGCCCTGTCGACGGAGCCACACCGGGAAAAGCTTGATACCGGTCCAGAGTGAGAGGCAAATCTGTGTTTGTATAGTTGTAAAGCGGATGTTAATAATTCTGTGCAAGGCCGTGCAGTGTGTCTGCTGTCATTCTGCAAGAGCGAAGTCCTTGGTCGTTTCGCAGGTTTGACGATATGTTGGTTGGGCAATGCAGAGCAAACATGGCGAAGTGATCATGACAAAAAGGGTACAACGGATAAAGTGCACGCTGTCTAAAAGTTTAACTATCGTTTGTGAGGTCTGTTTTGCATGGTAATCATTGAGACTGAGGCGTTCGGTGTGCAGTGCCTATAGAAGCCACGGCAGCAGAAATTGTGGTTGTTCAACGAAATGTTTTGACAGACTGACAGACAGCGCTTGGTTCTTGACGATTTTTTCCTCAGCGGTACGCGATTAGTCAGGCAACTTCCCGAATGATGTTGCCGTTTATCTCTACGCTTTGGTCTCTGCTTTGCTTCGGTTTCTGGACGTAACGAGCCGTGGCTGGGCAATTTCAACGGGCCTGTCGAGCGAACGCGGCACTGTGAAAATGTCAGAAGATCGCGGGGCTTTCGCCCGGCTGTGCATTCCTAGGACATAGCAGTAGATTCCACAGATGCATCGCCGGTGTTGGCAATGTGTCTGACGTGGTCCAAGGGCCTCGATTTCTGTCTATCGGTTGCAGCTTCATCCAGACAAGTAACCCTGAGCGCAACAAGTTTGTAGCTCGTGTTTTCCATAGGTTGCAAAGCTTTCAAAGCGCGGCATCACTCTTGTTTGGTGTTGCTGTATCAATGTGTACACCTCTAGCCAGTCTGCAGCCTGTCGCCGCATGGCTTGCGATTTCGTGCCGGAATGGAGTCATGGGCAGAGCACCTCACAGCGGATCTTTCATCAGACCTGTGTGTGGACGTAGTCCACGAACGATCTACTACCCGGGAGCTGCACATTTGTGTGCGCCCTGCCGAGTCGAAAAGGTCGTGCTTGCCAGATGTAGACCAAGTACGAGGCTGGAGCCCGAAGTTGAGAAACCGGCTTGGCTAGTTCACTTACGTGGGAATTAAGTAGCAACCACAAAAATAGTTGTTCGAGCTGTACCTCTATCAAAAAGAACCGGTCAAAAACACTTCTGCATGGTGCGGCAGACTAGCAGCAAAAACACAGCTGATGGACGTTCCTGCAATCTCTGCAGGCCCAGAGGAAGGCATCGCGTGGGATTGGTTCCAGCGGGCAGCTTTCGCCTGCATCGAACAGTCGGAAAGCGTTCTCGTCGCGGCCCCGACGTCGGCAGGGAAGACCGCAGTCGCCAGAAATGCCATCAAGAAATGCATTGCGACTGGAAGTCGATGTGTGTACACGGCGCCTGTGAAAGCTTTGTCGAACGAGAAGTTCAGAGACTTTGTTGCCGAGTTCGGAGCCGAAAAAGTCGCTCTGCTGACAGGCGATGCACAGGCTGGAAACATGGAGCTCGCTCAAGTGGTTGTAATGACAACGGAAGTGCTGGTCAGCATTCTGCACAACGACCATGAGTCGGACTTCTTGGATTTGGATGCGCAGGCAGATACACGTCAGAATCGAAGCATCGGCGAGCCGCGCCGGCTGCTTATGCGCCATTTGTCTTATGCGATATTTGATGAAGCGCACTATATAGCAGACGAAGAGCGTGGAACAACTTGGGAAGAAGCCATAATCCTGCTTGAGCGTCACATTCCTTTGCTTTGCCTTTCTGCCACAATTCCGAACTTTGTTGACCTGGTCGGTTGGATTGCGCAGACTCGACATTCTCCTTGCCATGCAATCTTCACGCGTTGGAGGCCCGTGCCGTTGGTTCATGGCATCGTCGCTTGTCCACCTGCTGAAGCCACACAGACAATTTCGGACAAAAGGGGTAAATTCAAAAAGAAATGCTACCAGGACCGCCTGCCACATTCTTGAGCATTTTCATGGCCTTGATTGTACCGCTGCCCGTGGACTTTTGCTGCGTTTCTTGCAGGAAGCTGTGATGCACCTGCCAATGCCGCCGGACAAGCCTGCACGAGATCTGGATCGTGGGCAGGATCTTGTGTCGATTTTGCATGACACTTGTCCGAGAGTGGCAGGGCGTAATGGGTAGCATTCGTGCTGCTTCGTGCTAGCAGCGGGCCGTTCGCAACTGAGGTCTGCAGGCTCCGTGGCGGGGTCGGTAAGTTTTTAGCATCCTTTCGACACGGCTCTAGCCTGCAATGTAAGAGCCTTCCACTACCGAAGCTGATGCAATGCTGTGGCCGGCATGCTGCTTAGGTCCAGCAAGCAGATGCCGCTGATCATTTTCTCTTTCTCCAGACGAGAGGCTGCTGAGATGGCACGGAAGTTGGCGCCTTCAGTGCGGCTTCGGCAAGCTCTGACAAGGTGGGGGACCGTCGGACCCCAATGCCCAGCCCACACGTGCGGTGCTTTGCAGGACGGTGCGTGCTCAAGTGCGGGAAGTCGTGGAGAAGCAGTTGGCGGAGCAAGATCGCAGTTTGCGCTCCGTTCGAGAGTGCGAGTTCCTGCTAAGCAGGCGCTTCAGGATAGATGAGCACGGATGGATACATGATGATACATGAGGTGTCCGTCAAGATGTATACATGTGGGGAGATTCGGGGTCCTGCGTTGCAGAGGCTAGCGTGGTTTCAGCCGCCTGTTGCAGGGGTGTTGGCCTACACCACGGTGGACTGCTACCAGTCTTGCGTGAGCTTACGGAGAAGCTCTTCAAGGAGAGAAGTGCTGCGTATTTCGAGTGGCAATTTGCCAGCTTGTTTCGCGTCGTTTGCTAGGAAGGCTTTGTCCGAGTCCTTTGCACGACCGAGACCTTCGCTGTGGGGGTGAACATGCCGAGCCGAGCTGTGATCTTCAATTGGCCCCGGGGCAGCGAGTTCAAGAAGTTCGATGGAAGTGAACAGCGGCCCATCCGGTGCGGCGAATACATGCAGATGGCCGGGAGGGCAGGTCGACGCGGCCAAGACACCCAAGGGAATGCTTGGAGCATGATGACGCAGCAGGTAGAACCCAGCTTTGTACAGAGGCTTGTTGCTGGCAGGGCCGAACCAGTTGAGAGCAAATTCACCTTGAGCTTCTCCTTGATCCTTCGTTGCCTCCGTTCTGGGGGAGGCGTTCTTACCTTGCTGCTGATGCAGAGCTTTAAGCAGTTCGAGACGGGGAAGTCCGATGAGCTGGTTTTCCAAGAAGAACTCAGCAAGAAACTTGCAGTTCTGAGCCGACAGGGTCTCCTTCACGACGGCCTGCGACTGACGCCGTTGGGCAGTGCTTGTGCCAACATCCAAGTGCCCACACCGCCGCTCATTAGCTTCAGGACGCACTTCCGGTATTGGGGCCCTCACTCGCTTCTGCCCTTCAACCCAGTACATGTATTAATTGATTAAAGCTTGACGACGCAGCGGCCAGGATTTGGCAGATGCCTCTGGACCTCCGCACCGGGGAGCTGGCCCACCTTGTTGCCTTCTTGAGCTGTTTCGTGAACGATCTTGAGGAAGAGGAGGAGGCCACCCGCGGTTTTGGTCACAAAGATACTGTACCGAATGCCTTCGAGTAGTTTCATGCGTGGCTTGGCAGGTTGTGACCGGCAGAGACTTCGATCCTTACTGGACCTGGTGTGAAACAATGTCGGAAGAGATCTCACGTGACCTGAACCTTTGCAACCTCTCAAAGAGGGAAGACTAAGGGGGCTCTGGCCAGTGAAATTGCATGAATCTTCGGCCGTGCAGCACCAAGCTACCCGTAAATTCTGTAGGGCTTTAGTCTTGCATCGTTTCGAAATGCGTAAGGCAAGATTCCACATCCCGCTCCAAAGCTTGAAGTGCAGCAGCTTCGAAAGCGAGCTGGCTTTGTTGATCCTGTCTTACGCTGGATGAAGCAGGAGAACTTCGAGAAGTGTAGTGATGCAGCTGGTGGGTCTGAATTTGATGGGATTCTGGCACGGGTCTTGCGAAGAACATATCTGTTCTTGAAACAACTGGAAGTGGCATCAGACCTGCTGCAGACACAAGAAGATGATGAGTTCGCTCAATTTGCGCAAGCACTGAGAGATGCACGGCTTCGACTGCACCGCGGAGGGTCTTCGCATCGTTCGCTGCCCTTTCTCGAGTCGATTTTTCTGCCTTTATCCTTCGAGCCAGACACACTTGACAGAGACACGTTGAAGAAGCCACTTGCTCCGTGCCCTTACGAGGCAGGTACCGAAATTGAGCTTTCGCCGAATGAGATCGGCTTTTCTCACTTTTCGATTTCTTCACATTTCAAGGATGGGAAGAGTATCGCTGCTACTTTGAATGAGCTCCTGCAAGGGAAGCCTAAAACGGACATCCCAATCGTGGAGGTGTATTGGACGGAGGGGCAGTTCTGGACAATGGCCAACCGACGTTTGGCTGTTTTCCGTCTGTTTCAGCAAAGGCGGCCCGCAGAGGGTGCCACCATCAGAGTTCGGGTCGCAGATGAGCGAGCTGCACAGGCCTGGGGTTTCTGGAAGCGATGGACGACTGGCCTCTGGAGGGGTCGCAGGGCCCAGATTCGGTCGACGTCGGAAATGATCGGCCGGTGCAGGGAGGAGACTTTTTTCTATTCCCTGGAAGGCTCCATCGAGCAAGTACGGGAACAGACGGGCTTCGAGCGTGCCCCAAGACCCGAGACGATGGTCAAGGCCCTCAAAGAACTTCGATGCGAACAAGAGGGCGAGGGTGGGGAGAACGATGACATGGAGGAAATGGAGGACAGAGGCAGCGGTGATTCGGATCAAGACAGCGAGGAACTGGAGATGGAGGATAACTGTGTGGTTTTGAGCGGGCCGCACGTTTCACGATTCCTGATCACTAGGCAGCTAGATGCCTTGGAAGCGCCGGAGGCACACTGGAGGTACTCCGTATCAGAGTCCGTTACTGCTCGGGACTTGCTGCGATCCCCCCATGCAAGCGAGCTCACGGTCCAGACGCCCATTCCAGAGACCTTCTGCAACTTGTACGAGTACCTGAGCCTCGGCAGAAGCACGAAAAGGGCTGCAAGTTTCAGTATTCCCCAAATGCATTGGGTTTCAAAAGGGTGTTGCGAGTCGAAGCCTGTTTCCCAAGGCGCAGCTTCGCTTTGCCCATGCTCGAGGCCACGATTGCTGTGTGCTGTGCAGGTGTGCCGAAGGTGATTACAGGCAGTTCGCGCTGAATTTCTCGAACCGCCGTAGATGCGTGGCCGTGAAAACTCCATGGAGAGTTCCAGAACAGATGCTTGCGGTGGCAGCTCTCTTTCTCTCCCTTCCTGCTTGATGCCTGTCCTTGAAGCGAACTCTCCAACCCAGTCGCTGCCAGGAGCTGCGTGAAGATCTGAAGAAATCTCTGGATCCCTTTGAGCTGGACCTGGATGCGGCGGAGGAAATCCGCTTGGTGCCTTTGGAGGCACGCCAGAGGATGCCATTCGCAGAACTCCTGCCAACTGGGCGAGAGCAGGTTGTCGGGGTTCCAGATTCTAGATTCTAGCAGATCTTGGTTCCAGATGTTAACGCTTTACAGAAATTTAGATGCTTTTCTCTCTCCGTCTCTCCTTATTTCTCTGTCTTGTTTGTGTCCTCTCTGCATGTCGAGACTTGCCCAACTGCGGTCACGTGGGCCAGGTTGCTCAGGAAACCATGAAGAGCGAAGGCATTCCTCGAACGCCTCTCTGGTTTCCCGTCGCTTGGATGCATCTCCGAGCATTTACCCATGGGCGAGGGTTTTTTTACCCATCCACCAGTCAGCCGTGACACGGAAACGTCGCAAGAGCTTAAGCTAGACAAGTAAGGCCGAGTGCACGAACAAAGGGCGCGATACGGCTTTAGGCGATTCGGTTCTTTCGGGCAGTTTTTTCCAGTCATCCAAACCGAAACTCTGAAGTCGTCATAGCCGTGAAGCCGTGACTTCTCGTTCCTTCCCAGGAGTCGGACTCCGAAGAAGTAATGCTGATACTGGCTGGAGAGGATCGTACGAAGAATGCACTCTGCGCAAAGTGCGCTCCCGGCCAAATGTGCCTGCTGTTCGAGGCTGTTTCCCTTTACCTGCTGTCATGTCTTCAGATGTTGTGTTTACTCTGCGGGTTCGTGTGGCACCCCCGATGAAGGATGGTTCCATCACGAAAGATATGGCCCTACCCGGCACCGGACCTGAAGACGACTTGGCCAGACAGGCGTTGCCGTTGAAAGTCCGTCCTGGAGGCGCGACGGCTTTCCAGCACCGGACGTAAGTTCAGTTTTTTTGCTTGGCCTGGCAGCCTGACTCAGCCTGTCAGGTTGTTACAGACTGGGCCTTCTCCACACGACTCCGAAGAGTAAGCATGCTCTGGTCCTCATCTCGCAGGACAAGCACCTGCCCCCGTGCGAAGCGAACGATGTGTTCAAGGTTGAGTACCCCGGAGGCTGCGCCGAAGCGAGAGCCGATGTCGAGCTGGTCAGGAGCCCAAGCTTAGAGGGTGTCTGGCTGATTGGCCATGTCACGCGCCCAGGGAAGGCCTGGCAGGCGGGCATTCGGTCAGGACAGCTGATCAGAGAAGTTGAAGGCTGGGACAGTGATCCGCTATCGCAGGAGTCGTTGGCGACGGGGGTGCGATTGGTGGTTGAAGGCAAGCCACGGAAGTGGAGACTTGTCGTGCTGTCTTGCAACGCGTTGACATCCATCCGTATTGGAACCGCGCTGGCCAACCCCGCTGGTCACCATCCTATTTTTTGGCAGCGTGAAATCTCTGGTCAGCCCGAACATGATGTCAGCACCTTCGGCGGGACATCGGAAGCCCAGTGCGCTGCGATGCGATCTGGCTTGACAGTTGCAGACCTACAGGAAATGGGGTTGAACTTCTCCCAAGCCAATGCAGTACAGAACCTGGTCGATTGTGCACATGGAGTTCGTCTGGTGCAAGGGCCACCAGGCACCGAAGCTGTCACGACTCTAGTGCTATACAATTCCAACGACTGTTTTAGACTCGTGGCTAGTATACACCGCATCTCCAACCAGGTACTGGGAAAACGCACACCTTGGCTGTGCTCCTGGAGCAGTGTGCGAAACTTGCGCTCAGCACCATGGAGGAGACGGAGGACTCTAAGCAGCTTGCCAGCAGGTTTGCGGACATGCCTGTTCACATTCACCTGTCCTTTGTGCTGCAGGCCAGCAACCAAGAAAAAGAGGAAGAATCGCTTCCAGAAGCACAGCCCGCCCGAGCCGGAGCCACCAGATGTTGACATGAGGCGGCGCCACGCGAATCGTTGCCTCGTGTGCGCACCAACGAACATCGCAGTGCAAGAGGTCCTGCGACGATTGCTGGAGCGCATTGGGCCAGAACACTGGTGTCAGGTGGGCTGTACAAGCAAGAGCCGAGCTTCGGCGTTCGTTGTTAGCGACAAGACCGTAAGGACACTGTGAACACTAGGCTGTGGGCAGGTGCATGTGACGGTACATGTGCCTGTGTGGAGTATGAAGGCGGGAATGCGTTATGAGGTGTGGTGTTTTGGCTGGGCCCCATTCCGCCAAATGCAACCAAGGGCAGCCAGTTAGGTTGGGTGATCGCATGTGTGGTTCTCCTCAAAACGGATCACAAAACCGACGGCCAAACTCGCGAGACAAATCGGGCTTTGCTCAAGAACCAAACTTATCGTAGCACTGTTGGATCCGAGAGTCATGTTCGGTTCGATAGATGTCATCCGGCGGTGGCTGGTTTTCAGTTTGATTTTGCAGCTTTTAATATAAGATTCGTGTCGGTTGCGGGGTCTTTGCGACTTCGTGCATGCCCAGGTGGTTTTGGTTGCAACGGAAGATCGTGCGAACGTAGGGTGGTCTGACCAGCTCCGCGGGGCTGAAGAGCGGGTGGCGGCCGTGCTTCTCGACCACCGAAAGAAGCGGGTGAAACGCATCGCTCGCTTCTGGCTTGGAGAAGGCTTTGAGAACGCCAAGCCGCATCTCCGCCAGCCTGATTGGGCCTACGAACCTGGCAACTCCTGCTTCGCCCTGCTGCTCTGCAAGCCTCTTCAGGCTTTTGCTCGCCTCTACCAGAGCAAGGGCAGCAAGAGCAGCAAGGGGAATGGGAAGCAAGGAAAAGACAGAGTGCAGGTTGTGAGCCTGCTGGACTTCGTGCATCAGAAGCTCAAGGACATCTTGCGGACGGTCCAAGACCAGCAGGAGAAGCTCCAGAGAGAGGTCGCTTTCAAGACCCAGGAGTTCCGTCCTTTCTTCTGCTCCAAGCAGGAGAGGAGGAGACTCGCCGCAGAAGGGGAGGTTTTCCGCAAGCTCGTGGCGCTGCGCGATCAGCTTGAGTCTTTCCGGCAGAAGCTCACAGAACTCGTGGAAGGCTGGGAGCCCAAGCTTCCCGGAGAGGACTGGTTGGACCTGCCCATGGCAAGTCCGAGAAAGGGTGTCGGCACAGGCAAAGGCGAGAGCAGCAGCGACCAGCCCAACATGGCTCAGGAGAGAAAGAAAGCCTACTCCTTTGTGCAGTGGGTCGTGCAGGGTGAGGCTGATGCGAAAGCCAAGGCTCTGGAAGGGTTGACAGAGCTGCTCGGCCTGGATGCGTCCCCAGTTGCTACGGTAACTGAAGAGGCCTTAGCTGCTGCAGAGAAGCGGCTTAAGCTTCTGCTGCACCCCGACAAGGCCTCTCCAGACATGAGGCTAGTCGCCACCGGCGCTTTCCAGGATTGGGAGGAGGCGATGAAAGCGGTGCGCAAGTCCTTGCGCTGTCCGGTCCCTGCATCCCAGGACACCTACCCTGAGCCTGGCCACCCCAGCCCAGCCAGCCATGGATTTGTGGTAAAGGTGGACGAGCGAATGCGGGCTTGGCTCTCGGAGGCGACTGTGGAGGCTTTGGAAGCTTGCACGGAGGCTCACATCGAGCTGCTTTCAGCTTGCACGGCGGTGCGGACCGCAGAGTCTTCTTTTCTCAAAGGAGCGCTCCTGAGGAGAGCGGCGCTTGTCTTCTGCACCCTTACGGTGGCGGGGCGGGCAACGGTGTGTGGACAACAGATACCAACGGTGCTCATCGACGAGGCTTGCCAGGCGTGTGAGGCCGAAACGCTGCTGGCTCTCAGAAGTTGGGTGCAGCGCCTTTTCTTGGTGGGCGACCCACGCCAGCTCCCGGCGACAGTGTCTTCACCATTGGCCAAGCAGGCTTTCTATGCTCGTTCCATGTGTCTCGGATACGAACTCTGCTGCCTTTGCCGCTTCACTTTCGTAGACTTTGGAAGTTGCTGAGGTTTCAGGGCATGCGGATCAACCAAAAAACTATGACAGGATCAAGCCAAAAAAGTCAGGGTCGAAAAGAAATCTAAACAGGATCAAGAGCAAACTTATGCTCCACTGCTTCCTGTCCTAACTAGTGTTACTTTACTGTTATAAGTGTTCTTACTGCTTCTACTACAGCCCTCATTATGTCATGATCCTTCTTGAAGTTACCATTGCGACGACGATTGCTACTACTGCTGCTGCTGCTACTACTACGACGACTACTACTACCCCAGTAGTATTACTCTTATTGTCTATTGTTACTAGTAGTATTGTTAGTTTAGTATCATTATGATTATTGTAATTGTTATTATGATGATTCGCGGTATGAAATTATTATGCCTACGGGTAGCATTATTGTTCTTAACATCACTGTTACTATCAGTAAAATTAGGATTGTTAATTGTATTACGCAAGCGGCGATCTCCGAACAGCGAAAGACCATACCAGAAGCATGCCTTTATGACGAGGACGTCACGACCACCGTCACATGTGAACAGGCTTGAATGGGCTTGGAAAACACACGTCACAACTAGTTGCCATTTGTGTTTTCCAGCGTTTATGCCATGTTACCGACCACGGACGACGACCAGGCCTACCAGGCCGACCAGGCCGACCAGGATGACAAGGACCAGGGCCAGAAGACCAGCTCGAGACTATCAGGAGCACCAGCAGGCCACCAGAACACTGCCAAAATGCTTTCCCCCAAGTACTGGCGTGTTCAAACCATGCCTCGAATGGCTTCCCCCAAATAGCGGCAGGATTCAGACACAATTGAGAGCACGACGAAATCGTTTTCCACCAAGTGTTGGCTGCTCGAGGAGCAGCGGGAAAGTACTCTCGGCCAAGTACTGGCGCGTTTCGCGACTTATGCTTCCCCGCCTTAGCTGGCACATGTCGTACTATTTTCACTGAATTTTGGCCCCCCCTGCCGCGCGCGACAAGCGAATCCTTTGTAATTAACAGGACGTGGGCGCATTCTATGCACGGCACCACAGTGGCAGACATGCGCCGAGAGCTCCTGTTTAATAAAACTGACGCGGGACCCAATATGCTGCATCTGCTGCAGGTACTGGTTCGTGCAGAGCTTTTTGACTCCGAAGTGAGACATGATTTCTTTTACATCCTGATTCACTTCTTATTTGATCCGTGGAGACATAAATTTGTCTTTGATCCTGGTTATTTTTTTGATCCGGCACCGGAAAGGTTTGAGCGCCTTGAGCAGACCGGCACGAATGCAGACCTCCTGGAGGAGCAGTACCGCATGGATCCGCCGATATTGTGCTGGTCCAACGAATGCTTTTACGCTCCTTGCCTGCCTTGCGGACTTCACAAGCTGCCGTTTGCTTGCTAGATTTGGAATATGGGCTGCGCATGTTGAAACATGCAAGCCGCATGTGGTGGCGAAGAAAACCATGTCAGTAGCAGATTTCTTCATGCAATGCCTCGGCCTTCAACCTCTCCCAGGGTGGCAGAATCCGCACGGCGGCCAGCGTGCTGCAAAGGGAGGTCCATACGGATCCGGATCCAGCTCGTTGGTCTCCACGTGATCAGCACCGACATGGTCCTTTCAGACTGTCGGCCAGATGCAGCTAAATCAGTGCCGTACAGTTTTGATCACAGCACAGTTTCTGCACCTCACCTATCCCAAGGATGGACACTTCCAGGGAAGGCTGGCTGGAGGAACAGGCGATTAGTTTCGAGGTAGATCTGAGATCTGCGCGAGTGAACGTATCATGCTTGGCAGAAGTCTGCGGCCAGGTGAGGTTCTCGTTTCGCAATCTTGGTGAAGCGCAATTCCTCATGGCATTTCTCCACACATTCTTCCGAGACTGCCGTCCAGATATTGGGACCACTGTCGGTATCATCACACCTTACCGGGCTCAAGTGGAGCTGCTCCAACACCTTCTTGAGAAAGCCCACGAACGCGTGCGTGCCAACACGTCAGTGGCGACAGTGGATGGCTTCCAAGGAAACGAGTAACCTCGCTGCATGCAGATGTGGTGGCTCTTGTTGGGCTTCGCTTAAAGAGCTCATCTGACGCGTGAACCAGGCGTGATCTTATCATTATCTCCACCGTCAGGACTGACTTGCATACTTATGACATGGCGAAGGGGCTCCCTGCATCTTGTTGCAGGTCTGGAGGCAGTATAGGTTTCAATGCCGACGAGCGGCGGCTGCGGCTCAGCTGCACACGCATTCTCGTGCTCTTGCACAAGCCTTTGCTTCGTTTGCACCGGGTGGTTCTGCAGGAATGTGGCAGTCACTCGAGCCAAGCGGAATGTTTGGATCATTGGTGACATGGAGACCTTGTACCGTGGACAGTCCAAAGGTGCTCCGGCAGCACGTCTTGGCAAGGGATGACGCTATTTTCCGTCTCTCATATGGAGTTGGTTACATAAGAACCGGGGGAGCATCGCACACATGACAGGCAATGTTTGGCGCAGTCTCCTGGCATTTGCTCGATCGCGAGCATGGGTCCTCCCAGCCTTGACCCCGCCACTGACCGAGCCTGCGAAGCCGCGGTCAACTGATCCCCCAGCAACGCGGGACATGCTGTGGACAGAATTGCAAAGAGCGGCATGGGAGGACTCCCGTTTGTTTAGGCTTGTCAGCAGAAGGAAAGTGCAAGCTAGTGCTGATTGAACAGTAAAGGGAAGAGAGGGAAAAGACGCCTGTGCTCTGACAAGCTTATGCCTCACAGATTGTTGACCAGTCCCGAAGAGAAGAGAAACGGGTGTGGACTGCTATCGATAGAAGAACCAGAGGCGTGGTCGGTAAGGCAGTGTGGAAGAGGTGGCAGCAAAGGACCATGTGCATGCCCTGTGCATGAAGCATCAATTCGTTTTGGTTTCGGCCAGGAGCAGAAGGCAGTGGGCTGGATGAGGGCGCGACTAGTCGGCGGATGTTGGCAAGCCTACTGCAGTTTGTGTGACCGGGTTGCCGAAGATGGCCACTTGGAGAGCAAGCCGCACCAGGACAAAAAGGAAGAGCCGCAGAAGCATTTGGCATTGCAGAGCCGCCTGGAGGGCTTCTTCGTGCGGCTCCAGCTGGAGCCAGGCGAGGAGCCGGGACTCTGTGCTTCCGCGGGTGCGAGCCGGCGCGCGCCGGAGCGTGCGAGGGTTCTGGGCGTTGAGCCGGGCTCGGTGCTGGAGCGGTGGAACGTGTGGGCTCGGCAGTTCGACCTGGAAGTCGTCGAGGGTTCTGTGATCCTGGAAGTAGACGGCTTGACGGGGCAAATGGCCACAGACGCCCTGGAGGCACAGTCAGCCAATTCCTCGGGCCCCAGGAAGCGGAGTCTTGGCTTCACGGTTGCGCTTGGCACCAGCCAGGGCAGTGACGAGGAAGCTGAAGATGATGCTTCGCCGGAAATCCAAGCGTGGGAGAGCAGCTATGCTGGCTATGCTTGGCCACCGCAGAGCTCTGCCGAAGACCAGCCCCCCAGCGCAGCTGCGGACGCCAGCAGCTTTCCCTCGCCTTGCTTCAGCAATTCCCTCAAAACTCCTCCTCCTCCTCCTCCTCCAGTGAGCTCGCCACCGATCACAGATCGAATTCCTGGGGCCTGCGGCTCTTTTCCGTCCGTGTTGCAGCTGAGCCGTCGGGGTCGGGAACGGGGCGTGGGAGTCCTCTGGGAGGCTCTGGTGGATGAGATCAAAGCGAAGGAAACTTATGATCTGGCCTCCGCCCAAATTGGCCCAGCACTTTCGCAGGGCGACACCGTGCTCCAAAGCGACGCCGCAGCGATCGTTCGCCTCCAAACTGGGCTACTTCGAATGAAGGTGGCCACCACAGAGGGAAGCAGTGCGTGGGTTACTCTCGATGCCCGGGCTTGCGGCGCGAACGGGATTCTCTTCTTCAGCCCCGGATGCGCTGGGAGTTTATGGCAGGTGGACAAGACGGTTATTGTCAGGAGTGAGGTGGGTCTGGAGTCCGATGAGGTGGCACGGCTGTCTCAAGGGACGGTCGTCTTGCAGACTGGCCCGTGCCAGGAACATGGAAAGACCCTCCGAATGCCGGTCTATCGGATGGGAATGTCAGGTTGGGTGACCTTGTCAGCACGAGCTGCAGGGGAGCCACTATTGCAGTTCTACCTCCCTGGAGGTCACGGCAGCTGCTGGAAAGCCTTGGGACCCCTCAAGTGCCGAGAGGCTCCATCTCTGCAGTCTGCACCTGTCGACCCGCCGGTCGAAGCTTTTCACATCGTTCGTCAGCACGGTGAAATTGAGTTGCTCGAGAACGGAATCATGCGACTGCCAATCACAAGGGGTTCCCGGATGGAAGTTGCCTGGGTAACCTTGGATGCACGTTGCGCCCTGGCTGCCAGTGGAAACTCGGGAGATGACAGAGTATATCTCGAGTTCGTCAACCACGCCTCTCAGTTCTGTGGCCTTAATGCTTGACGTCCACACCGCACAAGGTGCTGCCGTTTATGGGGCCAGTTTGCATCCTTCTGCTGAGAAGCCCGGGCTTGCAAACCAAGCACTATTGGCGCGTCAGGCTGCGAGCGGGAACTGGTGCTTGCCTCTTTTGTACTAACACATCTTCCCTTGCTTGTCTTGCTCTCTCTCCGTCGGGTTTTTTTCTGTCGAACTTGTCACTTGTCAGTCTACAAGGTCGTTTCTGCTACCTGCCGAAAACTCTCACCCTGCAGGTATTTCAGCGTGCATTTCAGCCACGCCGAGTTGCAAGTTTGCCGTTGCTGCTCTGTGCTCGACAGCAAACAGCGCAACGCTGCAACGTATCAGTCTGCAGGCGATGAAATTGGATTCCATGCTTGCTGGTTGCATCCAGTGTGCATCCTCGTTCCACGTAGACTTGCCCGAAATGCGGGTGCAGGCACGAGCAGTCCCGCATCTGCCCCAGCCATTTGACTGCGGGATAGGTATGGGATACATGGGGGCGATGATGCAACAGCAACCTTTCGAAGCCAACGCCGAAAGACAAAGGGTGGCAGTGTCCGGTGAAAGCATATTTGAATCCATGGGATCCTTCATGGCCCATGGTGCTCGCATTGTGGGGGTGCTCTTGTCCATGCCCCGGCCTTCGCAGAAGTTAAATTCTGACTTCGTAGATTGTGGGATGCCGAGGTTGGAGCTGAGTTGGGCAGAAGGCCGCCGGATCCACGGTGGCCTCCAACAGCCCCGACTTTGCACAGGACACGACGGCCTGGATGTCTGTTCCGAGAAGCCAGGCAGCACCTCTGGGCCTGCACCTCAGGGCATTGCCTACTTGGGTCTGGGTTCACCCCAGGGTTGTGGGGCCAGGTGCTCCAACGCTGATGCCGCTGTGGCCTGCTGGTGTCCTGCCAAAAGATGTCGGTGGAGGTTGGGAGCTCCACTAAGACAGGGTAGACCGAGGTCTCGAGATCCCACAGTCCGTGCGATGCCCAGGTTGCAGGGTTTGAGAGAAGCGCGCACCCCCGCTTGACTTGAGGATGGACCTGTTGGCCACGAGCAATGGCATCGGCCTGAGCACAACATCCAGCTCTCCTTTCTGTTGCCTGACCTTCGGTCGTGTATGTAGCAGTGTAGCACGAGGTGCCGAAATGGGCCTCCCATCCTTTGACAGCCAACGCTGCCTGTCAGACGCTAGAGGCGAGCAGCCCACCCCGGACCTGCATGTGCTATGTTTTGTCGCTGCTGGAGGATTCCCTAGGCCAGCGAAGCTACAGCGGTGCTTGCAGCTTCAAAGTTCCAGGCAAAGAGTGCTTCCCTGGGCTAGACGGTGCAAGCGCATGTCTCTGCATCTGGGGTGAGACGCTCCATGGCATTGTCGTCTGCTTGGGACGGCTTTTGAGACACGCAAGAACACCAGCGGGGCAGGGTGAAGTGATTGCCAGTAGCCTCAGTTGCAGGTTTGAGCTTCCCGATGCAAAGAGTGCTGCCTCCTCGATCCTGGCGGAGGGTTCTGACAGCACGTCGTGCTCTCGGCATCAGGCCGTCACCCCGATCTTGGGACGAAAGCTATGCCCTGGCTGAGCGGTTGCCGGGCCCTTAGCCTCCATTCCACTCCATTGCCATGCTTCATGTCCCGTGAAGTTCGGCCTTTGCCTGCGGAGAGGCTGCCGCTCATGACCCTGGAGGAGAAGCAGCGCTTGCTGCAGGGCATAGGCCAAGCCGACAGTGAAGTTGTGGGCAGCTGCACACGGCGGCGCGGTACAAGCCGCCGTCGACCGCTGGCAGGCTGGAATGGTGCAAAGTTTGCCTAGCACCAAGTAACTGCAAGACACGGTTGTTGGCTCACAGTTCCGTCTTGGATTAGGAGTTGAACCATGGGTATTACGTGGGAACCACGCGCCCTGTCGATCGCCTGGCTGTGCCAACGTCCCAGTCTATGTCGGAGTTTGAGTCATGCAGAGCCGCAGCAGCAATGAGGCCGGGTCTCAACTTTCAGGACCCCCGGAGTTTGGGATGGCTGAGCTTGGGCCGGGCGTGCGGTGTGTGAGCCTGAAGGCTTGGAGAGCCCTGAGCCGCTGGTGTCAGGCTCAAGCGTCCTGTGGGTGGCGGGCCGTAGTAGCCTAGAAAAGAACCACCGATGGCGGCAGCGAGATCAGAGGAGCAGGTCATTCATAGTCATTCCCTGGATGATGAAACAGATGCAGTTATGGTGCCTTGGATTGGCTGGGGTTGCCGGAGGAACGTAAGATGCCACTGTCCACTGTGTGCAACCGAGGAGCCTCCGCTAGATGAGTTTGATATGTGGGATCATTACCAGGCTGCAGCCGTCGGCGACGCAAGGAAGCGATCCCCGACTAACCTAAGCTGTGCAGGCAGGATAGTCATTGGTTGTGAGTACGTAAGATGCGCTTCTCTGGAATCCGTGTACGTAGGCATATATCTACATATAGAGATATGTATGTATGTATGTATGTATGTATGTATGTATGTATGTACGTATGTATTTACGTATGTACGTATGTACGTATGTACGTATGTACGTATGTACGTATGTACGTACATACGTACGTACGTACGCACGCACGCACGTATGTATGTATGTATGTATGTATGTATGTACGTATGTATGTATGTATGTATGTATGTATGTATGTATGTAAAATATGCAAAACAAACAGATAGATCGATAGATTGATAGATCGATAGATAGATAGATAGATAGATAGATAGATAGATAGATAGATAGACGTAGAGCATATCTGTACACACTGGCCAAACTGGCACGTCTATGTGATTGTGTGCAAATACAGATGAGAGGAGGAAGCGAGCCCGACAGAACTAGAGAGACAGAGAGAGAGATTTCGGCGGGAGAGAGCAGGGCTTGGAAACTGGCCCCCTAAAACGCTTGCAAACACACACACACACACACACACAGAGCCCCCTGCAATGCCCCCGACTCTTGGCTGAGGAGAGGCCATCTCGCAGTTGCAGAAGTCCTTCCTGGACCAGCTGCATTCTGAGATGGACGTGAATGCGGCCGCCGCCAAGGCGCTGCTCCACCTGAAGGCCAAGGCCTCCTTAGAAGCCTCCCTGGAAAGCGAGACCTCGCTTGAGGGAGCGGAAGGATCCCCCACAGCTTCCTGGTGGGATTCCGAGTCTTCGCCCATGGAGCAAAATCGACAACACGTCAAGATCTGCGATGACGAAGAGAGGACACCTCTTCGGGCTGGATCTGTCATGATAGCGAGCCCACCCTCTTTCTCCACAGCATGTCTTTTTTAGTCTGCTGGAATCCTGGTTGAGAAGGGCTTAGCGCTGAAGCCCCCGGCCCTTGAGCTGACTGCATGCGAACCGAGCTGCACCGGGGTGAGTGCCTGAATGCAGACTCGCTTGTGGGCTTGAGGGTACTGTTGTGGGCGGGCCTGCAGCAGGCAAGGCGTCCCAAACTAGTTACGGACGGGAGTGTGAAACTGTCACGACTCCTTCGATCATGCAGTCGCCCCGATGAGCCATTTCATTAAGAATGTCCATGTCCTCGCGGAAAATCTCTTCTTGTGTGTATGAGCTGTCGATCCCGACTTCGGACAGCTCGGAGGACAATGGAGCGCGACATGGACGAGTTCGATCTGATGGCACAACGCAGTGCTGCTTTCGAGTCTCTTCCAGAGGACCGGAAGCGAGCAATCTCCGCGCTGCAATCCGCGTTCCTGGCAGCTGGGGCGAAATAGAGTCGACGGAAGCTCATGCGAGCTTTTGGGATGTTCATTTTTCTGTTCTTGACAGCCCAGGATGCCCTGGACACAGAAGATGTGAATGGCGCGGCCGCAGCAGCATTGAAGCGCCTCCTGTCGAACCCAGCCGGCGAGGATGCAGATAGGCTGGACTCGATGTGGACAGTCTCATGTCTCCTCTTCTCCGCTGATTCTTCGCTTCTTAGAGTCTGATTTCTAGATGCAGATGTCCGTGTGGATGAGGAGTGGTGGCAAGCCTTCGATTTTCCAAATGCTCTTCCAAGAGAAGTTGAATTCAGAAGAGATGACCGCAGAGAGCCTTGGCTTGGTGAAGTCCTCGGTTGTGGAAAAAGCACCAACAAATGGATCAGCGCGCACGACGGCGACTACTATTGCGTCGCAACCACCGCCACGACCACCACCAGCACGACCACCTACTGCTACTGCCACTACTCGTACCTTGTACTACCATGTCTCCTGTTGCTTCTACGACTACTATCAATAGCAGCATCAACAACAACAACTGCAACTGAAGTCCGACTCCAACTCGTACTCCTGCTGCTACTGCTCCTGATGCTGCTGGTGCGACTGCTGCTGGTGCGACTGCTGCTGGTGCGACTGCTGCTGCTGCTGCTGCTGCTGCTGCTGCTGCTGCTGCTGCCTACTTCTACTGCTACTGATACTGCTACTGCTACTGCTATTGCTACTGCTACCGCTGCTGCTGCTTGCTGTCCCTGCTACCGCTACTGCTGTGGCTGCCGTTATAGCTGCTGCTGCTACTGCCGCGGCTACTGCGACGACTGCGGACACGACGACTGCGACGGCGATTGCCACCACTGAAAATGATCACGTCAAAGGACGGTAAGCTTCGACGCAAAGGTGGAGGCGCTGAAGGCATATCCGAGATGCTCACTTGGACGTGTTTGCGGACTTCGCTACCTGTTTTTGACTCACCTTTTTCGGCAAGGCTTCATGTAGCGTTTTCCAATCTACGTTTCCAGCTCTTAGGGAGATGCGTTGGGCAGGCCTGGAGCCTTTCCCTGCAAAGGGAGGCCCAGAGCGCCGAGGATGTGACCGGTGCCGTGGCGGCGGCCCTGCTGCTCGAACTCGCTTTAACAAGCCGAAAGGGTCCAGTTAGGAGAAAACTTCATAGCAGGGTCCAGGATCTGGTCCCCTGCGATATCGCCGAAAGGTTTGCTGTTTGATTGAGGAGGAAAGAGGTTGAGGCACTTCCTGCCTATGGGTGATCCAGCACGTCTCAGGCTGCGTTTGAGCAGATCCGCCAAATGATCCGCGGCCGCCGCGCCGCAGCTCTGAAGGTTGAACATGGCTTGCGCAAGATCTCGGTTTCTTTTGTGGGGTCCCCATCCCAGGAACCTATCAATTGAAAGACTGCTAACTTCCAACGGACCCTTATGCTCCACTTGTAGTCCCTAGCGGCATCTTTTGTCTGGCAGCGCCAGCTAATCCACGTGCTTGACCCATGCGTATCACTGTACAGAATACGAAAGATAGATGCAGACATGTGCTGCGTGGTGCCCTCGACACTGCTCTCCAAAGGAGGCAGTTGCTTTCGGTGTGTGCGCAAGGCCGCGCGCTGCATGGGCGAAGGGCCTCTGTTGCACTCTGAAGGGCATTGGGGAGTTGGGCAACGAAAGAGTCGCAAGGTGTTATAACTGCTAAAGCAACGATACCAACCCCGAGCTCCCCTTGGCAGCAGTTGATCTGATAGACTGGCCCAGAGAGGCCTGGCGTTCCGATTGCTTCGTAGCTTGGAGACAGCAAGGTGGCCTCAGGCAGCCATCGGAAACCCCAGCCTAATCACCAACGTCACGCGACGACCGAAAGACAAAGAGTGGTGGGGTTGCCGAAGCTGGGTAACTTTGATCGATCTCCGGAAGCGGTGTTCCTTCACCAACTTGCAGCTTACGGCTCATGTCGACTTTCAAACTTTGCCATCGTTTCTCAGGGTTCTGGATAGGATGGAGAAGCGCCAAGTCACACGCAAAGAAACCACGAAGCCACTCATTAGGACTGGAGTGTTGGTCGTCCGCCAAACCATGGGCTTGTCGAAGTCAGCGGTGCCGTGCTCGGAGGTAGAACGGAGGTTTTGTGTAGCGGGAGAGCTCCTCGAGACTTATGACATGAATTTATCGCGGCCCAGGCTTTAGAGCAATGCAAGGCACGCGGCTGCATCGAAGGTTTCTCTCGCTGCAAAGGTCCCTTGGTCAGAGGTGTGTCGATGGTGGTGCGGTCATTTTTCATTGATCGAGTGTAGTGTTGCTGCACGGCACGGTGCCCTCATACGCTTCTACGGAGGTCGGCGAGGAGCTTGCGCGGTTTTGGCCAGCTCTTTGAGATGCGTCGGGTCAGCCCTTTGCGACAGCCAGCTCTTCAAGATATCTCGCAGGTCTGCGGCCACACCGGAAGACCCTCCCCATAGAGATGTCAAGTCTTGTGGGCAGCCTGTGGACGTTGAAGTGGAGGCCGGCAAAGCAGAGGATGCCTGGGACTGGCGCTCCGACGATGCGGGCGTCGAGTCGTCCATCCCAGCAGTCCGCGCGCTGCCCCAGCGACCCAAGTTCGTCGATTCCATGAGAACGCGGCAAATGCTCATTGAGGATCGCGGAGTACTTGGGCGCTCGGTGGCCACACCCACCTCCATCAGTACAGAGGCATCCAACATCGTTAAGGCAGATATGCAGAGCGAGTCCTGTGAGACCGACCATGACTGCCTGTGCATCCCATCTGATGCTTCCTTGCTTGATGGGGTGCGTCTACTTGTCCTGCATCACCTTGCCAAGGGCGTCGAAGACCCGACGGCCATGACGCCAGGTCAGAAGCAACTTTTCGAGCGCCATGTCAGCCAGTTGGCGGGATATGCAGAGCAACTAAAGCAGACCTTGCTGATCTCCCCGCCTTACCTCACTGGTGGAACAGCTCCACAAGAGCCCGGACGAGATGCCTCCACATCCTCCTGCCCAAGTGAAGCACCACGGGCACTGAAACTCAGGGACAGCGAGCTTCTGGAAATTTACCGAGTGGCCCAGCAGGAGGCTGGGAAGGAAGCAGATTGGCGTGGTCTGCCGGATCGAGGGCCCTCAGATGCGTGGCGCTACGAATGGCTTCGTGAGTTGAGCCTGGCGTCAGATCGCAGAGGCCAGGCCGATTTTGTGACAAATGCCAAAATCCGAATCCGCGTACCAGGTAAAGAGTTTGGAGTTTAGGGTGAGTTGTTTTGACGGTCTTCAGGCTCAAGGGACTCGGAACAGGATTTGTTTTTCGAAGCCACAGTGCCCCGAGGATTTCACCCAAGCAGATCGAAGACACCGCGTGCGCCACCCGAGCCCCTGGAAAGTCCCGAGGCGTTGCCTGGGGGGAAATCTGTACGCATCGTTCTGTTTGGTGCCGCCATCAGCATGGGTCGTGTTATTGCTGTCTGCGCATCACCATTACCAACCGTTGCAGTATTGCTTTGTCTTGAGCCACGCAGTGTTGGCATATTTCGGGTTTGATTTCGCGAGGCAGACTGAGGGAGATCGCCGCTGTGAGATGCGCATTTTTGGCACATCTTTGCTTCAGCTGCCCTTGCCACCGCTAGAACGACCCAACTAGGGGGAGGTTGGTAGGTGCAGCGGTTTCACTCTGAGCCTTCCGAAGATGGTTGGCAGTGCCCAAGAGGCCACCCTGCTGAGCCTTGGCCCAGTTAATTCGCACGATCGGGTTGAGCCCCACCAGCAGCATGCTCGTGGATGCCCTTGGCTTGAAGGAAGCCGCCAGCTCCTAGCATAGGTACACAGAGGAGTCCTCGTACACTGGGTGCTTCAGTCCAAGTTGTGTTGCCATGGCTCTGGGGCTTCTCGCATCCTGGACATCTGCAGTCGCACACGGCATGAACATGAGCCCATCATGCCCCAGGAGAGGGACATTGACATGTCTAACTAAAGCAAAGGTCATAGAAGCCATCAGGGCAGAGCCGGAAGTGCTCCATGCAAGGTCTAGCTCAAAGGGGCCACGAGGAGGAAGCAGAAGCTTTTTAAGCACCTTGCATCACCTTCGCGAGTGATCCTGTGTCTTAGGATTCGAAGCCTTCCGCTACTGGAAACTTAGGGTTGCCTCGCTATGATTGAACTTGAACCGCCTCCTTGCACCATGGCCTGACGCCTCCTTTCATGGGAAAGGCGGGCCGACTGTCCGAAACCCGTGAGCCCGTGGGCTTCCCAAGCTTCAAGTTCTGAGCCTTTGAACATGGAAAGCTCAACATGAGTCCACCTCCAGCTCCCACCATGAAAGTGCTGCAGGCGAAGCATCAGGTTACGGCCGACGGGCGCTGCAAGCGTGAGCGCAAGAAAGATGCAACACGGGAGGAGGTTACCTGACAGCGACTGTTTGGGCGAAGGTAGGGCCTTCGATTTTCTGGTCAGGTGATCGAATCCTGGAGATGCCACCAGTGTACCTTGGAAACGATCGCTTAAGCATACCCGAAGCAGAAAAGCAACCGTTTAGCTCTTCCTTCAGCAACAGTTTTGGCCACCTCGATGCTTGGTCTGGCCTCATATCCTCTGAGGCAACTTCGAAAATGATGCCTCCTTACCCTTCTGCCGCTTGCCAATTCCATGCAGATGACCTGAAGTGCATGTTGGATATGACAGAGATTTGGCCACGAAGGCGAGATGTGTGGTGCGTCGCGCAAAGATCGCTCCTTGGCGGCATGTCACACGTACAGCGCAGCGACTGCTCTCTCCGTACACGAGGTCAGTTAGGTCGGATCGGGCAGTTCGAGCCACAGGAAGTGTGCGTATCAGTACAAGCTTTAAGAGGGACTCAGAGAGACATGTACCTGCGACACAAATTACGTTTTTCCAGCCTCAATCTCCTGAACGATAGATCATTCCTGGCTGCCTGTCAAGTATACCCAAGGCTTAGACTTGCTTGCTACGTCAATGCTGGTACTTCCTGGCTTGTGTTGCTCAGGCGAAGAGGACAGCGACGCACGGCAGCAGCAAAAAGTCCAGGGTCTGATTGGGCTCCAGCATTTTGAGGAAAGCTAAGACTCAGATTGTCAGACTCTACAGGCTATGCGTATGTAGCCGACTCAGGAAGGCGACGACATTGCTGAATGGACCCGTGGCAGCAACCAACCAATTTTGTTGGGCCATAGGGGGGGAGTTCCGGGGTGCCGGCCTGCGGAGAGCATCGGGCTAACGACTTTACTTTTCCCGACATAGGAAGTGTTGCAGATGCTCAGTCCGAGCTTTTGCATGATACGTTGCTCTCCCGCGATCCTGAACAGGGCCGGGACTCGACTCAAACAGAGCACCGAAGAAAAGGCAACTCTCCGATTGTCAGGTCCTGCAACGTCTGTTCTTTCAAGAATATTGGGCTTTTGCCCTACTGTGAAGTTTGCGAGGCTGGCTGCATGCCATTTCGAGAGCTCGAACCGGGAGAAGCCACAAACATTCGGCTGCCGCATTCAGTTTCGTATCACTTTGCCCGTCAGGCACCTCGATCTGGCTTCTCGGCAGAGAGCGATCGTCGGACAGATTGGAGTGTAACGCTTTCTGAGTTGCTGGGTCCGCTGAATCCATCAAGATTCTGCAGATTTCTGCAGCGAGGCGGCGACTCTTCAGCGGCTGCATCTGCGGAGGCTGTGCCCCCGCGTTGCGACTTGGCATTTGCAGTGCCTTGCCTGGGCAGGCTGAGTGGGAGTGCCCGCTATGCTCCTTCCGCAACCCGAGCCATCGGACTGCGTGCGCGCATCCTGTCAGCAGAGTCATAGCAGAGTCTGGTACATCTGCTTGTTGGTGGATCTGGAAAGCGGAAAGCATTTTCATCAGGATGTGCAACGCCCCACGCCCGGCGGCAGCACAGGCTACGCCCGCAACGGGTAGTTGAGCACTCAGAACGGAAAAACACATCGCGAGCCAGTCGCTGTGCTCGGAACTGGGTATTTGAGGCAGTGCGTCGCAGCCTCCTCCAGCGGAGCCCGCAGAAGAAGAACAGCCGGCCCCCTGCACAGATGAGGCCCGTATTTCCGGTGCACTACAACTTGGGTGGGAAAAAACTTCGCCTTCTGAAGTTCGACCTGGGATTGTTTATTCTGCTGATATTCGAGGGACACCAACTCCAGCCCCGGACTCATGCGAAGTCCGTCCCGCTGCACTAAAGTCACTAAAGCCGTCATCTCACTGGCGAGGAGCGACGGTTGCTGATGTCCATGGGTTGGAACCCCGAAGATGGGGATGAAGAAGAGGGGCTGGAGGACTGCTCCAGCTGAGGCTTCGGAGCAGAGCATTTGTCACGATCTCTGTCTCAGGAATGGGAGATCGATGCCGCTCAAGAGACTCTGGGCATCATCAGAGCCTTTCATCGGGGCTCGTCGCCTTGATATGGACCCCGCACTCCCAGCTACTGTACTCGTGGCCGCTCAGGAATCTCATCGGACGGGTGCAAGCGAGGGCAGACCGTGAAGGTTTGCGAGAACGAGCCCAGCGGGAATTCGAAGCCTGGAAGGCCCAGTGATCCCTGCAATTGGGCAGCAAGTGGCTTTCGCAAATTCTCATGGGCGCCGGCAACTTCTGCCGTGAACTAAGGCAAGCAGCTCTTTGGTGACAGCCGGCACTTGTTTGGTCTTACTCGTACCGTAGTGCGCTCGATGCGAGTTGCGAGTCAAACGCCGATGCTGCGGTCCGGTAGCTTCCAGTGTGCACAAAGTCAGAAAGACCATACCCCCCCCGGTACCCGAACTGTTCATGAGTCTGACCGCTGGCGATTGCCCAGAGCGTGTTAACGAGTAACTTCAGCTGTTGGATGCGCAGCCGAAGACAAAAAAGGTGCTGCTGCCCTTGTGTGAACATCTCGGTAGCCCTGCAGAGCGGGACTCTCCCGTGGGGGTCGTTTCTCCAGGATGCTGCTGATGGCTTCCGCATGTATTGGCCCCGGCCCCAGATCTCGACGGTCGAATCTCGGCCGAATCTCGGCCTGCTCCTGTGACTTGGTGGCGAGCTGCTTTAGTGCTTCTGGCGTGCAGCTGATGGCGCTCTCGACGCTGCTGCTGCCGGTTCAGGCAAGTGCGTAGAGCAAGCAAACGCAAAAAAAAACAACTGCCATGCCACACCAGCTACTGGAAAAGTGTCAACTTTTGCTTTCAGCCTGGTTTGATTGGATGCGCCGCAAAGTTTCCGCGGCGGACCCTTCCATGGATGTGGCCTTGGCACCTCGGGGCGACGAGGAGGCTAGCAGCGAGGAGCAGAAGTGCGCCCGAGCTGCATAGGAGGGCAGTGCTGCTGCCCATGCAAAGCTACTTGAATGTTCGTCTTAGGCCCATGCGTATCGTTGGATAATCTTTGGGTTCCTGGCCCCTCGGCTTTGAGAAGGGTCTCTGGCCGGGATCTAAACTTGCCTCCTTCAAGGAGCGCTGGTTCTCGGTGTGGTGGTAGGCTCGGGGACGCTCGTGGTGATGTCGAAGAGTTGAAGCAAGTGTTGCTGACAAGAAGCCGATATGCAGGGCTCCTGCTTCCTGCCGACCAGCCTGGCTGGGGTGCGCGGACTTCGGAGGTTTTGGGCTGGACCTACTTCTTCGCTTGGTCGGCTCCCCACATACGGAGTATACGGAAACTCTCTGATGTTGTGGATCCACATCTGTGACTTGGTGCGGCAACCAAGGTCCGTGTCGTTCTATCCACAGGCCTGTGCCGACTTGACGGCTGCAGATTTGCCTGAAGCGATTGCCTTTGGCTGCCAGGTTTTCTTGAATATTCGCAGAAGAAGTGTGGTGGGCCTTTCGCTGGACTACCAGTGCCTTTGCTGTTGTTTCGTAGTGGAGCTCGCATAGGTCTGCGCTGAGTTTACTGAACTGTTGGCTTCTTCTTCGCTTCTGCTCAGGATTCTGAATGCCGTTTCTCAGCTTGAGAAGCAGTTGAGGAGGCATAGCATGTCTTGTATGTATGCTCATTAGCCGAGTTTGGCTTTGCTTGCTACTTCCTCTTCAATGCGCTCCTGTTCTGGTCGCCGGGCATTCGAGCGGCCTATCGTCAGAGCCATCATGGGCAGGACGGCCACCCAGTTTGTTTTTCTGGCTTGCTGCAAGGTCAGCAGCTGTATGAACTGTGCAGTCTTGCGACGACTCAGCCAGGACAGTGCTGTGCGACTCAATGATGTGGTCTTTGCCGGTCATGCTTTTCTGATCACACTCATAACCCTGGCTCAGATAGGCGGGCATCCAATGCTGCAATTTTATTTTCGCTGTCCCCGGCATGCCTAGACGAGACTAGCAAGTAGAGCGACCGAGTGGACCTTTTCTTCGCAGCTCTGTCTTGCTCAATAGTGGTGTGTCATTGCCCGTTGCCATCTGGTGAGGCAGGCTTGTTGTGTAGTTCATGGCCCAGCTTCGTCTATTTACCCAACATCTCCTTGCAGGCCAGCGATCATCAGCGATGGTTATCGCCAGGATGAGCCATTTCTTCCAAGCTCGATCCAAGTCTGTGCTGCACTTCCTAGCTGTGCTCCTGAGCCTGAGGCAAGTTGGAGCCTCTCCCACCCAAAGCCAGGCTCAAGTCGCCAGGCCGCGTACGGCTCCTAACTCAGCTGCGGCAGTGCCTCTGCCAATTCACCTGGGCGCCTCTGCTGGAAGTCCTGGTGTCTATGTGCCTGTGCAGCTCGTGGGTGGCCTCCAGGGCACCCCGGGTTCTGCGGCCGGGAATTTGTGGACATGGGCCGGCGCCTCAGGAGAAGCTTGTCGGAAAACATCTCCAGGCAGCACTGGATTTTCGAGCAACCTTGTGAGTGGGTCCGAGGTCGTTGCAGCTACAGGAGCTGCCTGGCACGGAGCGAGACAGAGCCACGAGCCGCGGCAACCGCGGCCGGTTAGGCGCAGCCAGAACGTGGTGCCGAACTTGAATGTCGGCACACACGCCACTGAAGAGGAGGGCTGGCAGACAGCCAGCGAGGATGAGGAGGAGACTTGGCAGGCCCCACCTCCTCAAACCCACGTCCAGTCCAACCTCTTCCAGCCTAGCTTCTCCAACATGTTCCCTGACGGCATCCCGGAAATGATGCAATTGCAGCAGGCATCGCACATGCCACAGATGCTGCATATGCCACAGGGGCCGCACATGCCACAGATGATGCCAATGGTCATGGTTCCAATGCCGCTGCGCGCTGACGCCAATGTGGACGCCGTGCCTGAGAGTGAGGCCCGAGAGGCTCGAGGACGGGGAGCTCCAACCGCGTCAGGGCCAGGGCCGTCAGGGCCTGGGCCTGTCTCTCCAGGACGTTTGGATCGCCACGTCTCCTCCGCACTGTCAGAAGCATCCGACTGGGCCTCCGCCGAACAAGCCTCCTTAGCATCTTCCTCCAGCTCAGTTCAGCGGCGCTGGACGAATCGGGACTGCGACTGGGCACTGCGCCAGCTGAATTCGACTGCGAGCGGTCCGAGCCGTGAGCTTTTGCTGCAGATCCTCCAGGATGCCTGGGCATTGGCGGGCAGCAAGAGCGGCACACGTGTTGTCCAGGCAGCAATGGATGTGGCAGAGGCTCCTGACAAACAGCTCCTAACCAATGTCTTCAAGGGCCGAGTCTGGTACGCGTTGAAGTCGCCGCATGCCAACCATGTCTTGCAGAAGATCATTGCTCTAATGCCGCCGGAGAAGATGCAGTTTGTCTTTGAAGAGCTCAGGCCAAATTCAAAATCTTCCTAGAATGCAATTGTTGATCACAGAAACAGCAACGGTACCAGCTGCTGCGCTTTCTCAAAACGCTTGACATGGTCTTTCTTTCACCTGCTTTTTTTTCAAGGTTTTGCCATGTTTTGCCAGCCCGGCTCAGACCTCTTGTGCCCATTTTTCGTGCTGAACTCGAGTAACGTATTTCGGCTCCTGGCAGATGGACGCATGTCCTTACTGTCTGCAGGGGCGCTTTTGGAGGTCGGGGGTCGAAGCGAAGCACAGCGGTTTGCGGCGCGTAGCCTCCAGAAAGCTACATAGTTCGGAAACATCGCAGTACGCTTTTCGCAAGGAACTGGCTGGACGCGTCGATGAGGCTGCCAGGTACTTTGTCCAAATGTGTGCATTGCTTGTTCCTAGTGGTTCCAGGGTGCAGTGTAGATGGGCTAGTTTTTTGGCATCAAACCGAAACATTAGTTTGAACGCCTTCAGCAGGGCGGCACCCAGTTACAGTCCCTGCTCCCAGATGCTAGAATGCTTGGAGCAATAAGAAAGAGAGACCGACTGTAGAATCTCCGCCCCTAGGCACCCTTTCGGATGTCGTGTCCTGGAAAGACTCCTCGAGCATTGTGGCACTTCGCAAAGCGACGTCTTGCTTGACGAGCTGTTGCATCTTGGCAGCCCCCTCGATCCAAAGCATCCCAGCTCCTGTGCTTGTAGATATTCGTGCGCCGAAAGCAAGGAAGATTGCATTTACAGGCACTGCTTCTGTCAGAGACGGGTGTGGTTGTGTCAGTCGAACCACATGGCCGGGCATTGGCTCAAGAACGCATTGTTTGAGTTTCTCCGCCAGTTGGAAACGCCATGTCAGGTAGCATTAGTCCTGGTGAAGAGAGTCCAAAGCTACGTGGCGATTGGTCCTACGAGTTTGAGAGGCTACACTCCGTCCTGGAGCAGCAGTTCGCGAGGCAGCATGAGCTCTTGCGGGAGGTGCATAATCAGGTCAGGATGGGTCAGCATCGGATCCCCCCAGCACCTTTGCTCCCGATGACGTCTCGCAAGACCAGCATTCGCTCCTCGGTGATCCATGAGGACTCAACGTACCACGATCAGGACCAAATGTCCCAGCAGGAGATCACTCATGAGTCCGTTAGCGTTGGGTTTGCAGAGCCTGTCCTCATTGGCTTCGGAGAGGCCGCGGAGAGTCCGACTGAAGAGGAGGAGGACATCACCAGGCAGAATGAGAATCACCCTTACGAGGATAGGCCCAAGCGAGGAAGGGAAAAGAGGCGCGACAGTGCACGCCACTCCTTCGTGCGCCGCACGCTTCAGGCACACCAGGAGAAGGCCGACAAAGAGGCCTCGAAGTTGAAGTATCTAAGGTCGAGGAGCACCTTGAATGTTCCACCGGAGCGTTCCTGGCTGACCCAGCAGATTGAAAAGCTCGTAGCCTCAAAAGGATTCAGCAACGCCATCATGATGCTCATCCTTTTGAACGTCATCTTGCTCGGTGTTGAGGTCGATGTTTCAACTCTGCTTGGCCAGAATGACGTGCCGAAATGGTTTGGGACAGTGAACACTATGATTGTCATGCTATTTGTCGGGGAGGTTTTCTTGAAGTGCATTGCTGTAGGCTTCAAGGAGTATTGGTGTGGCCAGGAGGCTTGCTGGAATGTCTTTGATGCCTTGATCATCACTGTGTCCGTCTTTGAAACGATTATCGATATTTGGGCACAGTCCATGTCTGCAGATGTTGCGAACTCCAGTCACCTTCGAGTAGTCCGAACGATTCTGGTTTGCACATTGAAGTCCTTTTTTTAGAGGTAGCTAGTGCCACTCAAGCAGACCCCCAGCGCTCAGGATTCGGCTTGCTCGCGCCTTGCGAGGGGTGCGTGTGGTGCGGCTGTTTCGCTATGTCAGCGCTTTGCGAACCCTGGCCCTCTGCATAGTAAGCACAATCGGATCACTGATCTGGACCTTGGTGCTTCTGGTCTTGTTGTTCTACACCTTTGGCGTGATTTTGACACAGCTTGTGTCGGACCATTGCAGGGATCAAGTTGTCATGACGACTGGAGATCTGAACGCAGTGCCTCAGTGCCCAGATGACTTGCACAGGTATTGGGCGAGCGTTCCCGAGAGCATGCTGACGCTTGTCATGACGGGTAGTCCAATGGCATGGCTTGTTCAATGCTAGTCTGTGAAGCGTTCGTCAAAGCTGTGGGAGTTGGTTTGCCTCGATATGAGAAGTCCTGCGACAAAGCCTAGCCAATCCCGGCGTAAGTGTCCCGAACAAGAAGTGTCCAGAACAACCATCGGCCACTAGTCAAAAACCCAACGCCGAGGACGCTCTTCCTAGCCATCTCTGGCGGAATGAGCTGGGAAGATGCTTTCGGTCCGCTCCGGACGGCTTCAGAGTTGGCTTGCGCCTTCATGATCCTTTACATAGTCATTGCTGTGTTCGCAGTATTGAACGCCACTGGCTCAGTTTGAGTTTTTGAGTATAGGTCTGTGTCTACCGGCACAGAACCCGCAAGGCGCTGTGTTGAGTTTCGTGCCACGGGGAGTTTCGAGGCAAGCCTAGAGGTGGGAAAACCGTGTAAGGAGATTGTCAACACTCGACAGAGCCCTTTGTCATTGTGCTGATGAGTGGTTGGGAACAGCATCAAAATCTTGTGGGATCCTGACCGATCCTGACCAACCCCATCAGCATGTCAGGGGGCGTAACAGGCAAGTACCCATTACTGGCATCACACTCCCGAACAACATTCTGTCGGGCAATCAGAGCTGGCTTCCTGGGCATTATCCGCCAAGTAGGACTGCACCACTCACTGGGGTCCGGGACATCACCAGTAATAACCCAGAGCTGCATCGGACTGACAAAGGAGCCACACATCACGTTGCGCAAACGGTGACTGTGTTACCACTTGCAGGGTCGGGGGACGTCGTAAGTGGCTGCTTGCAAGAGTCCTGGATGCAAAAAGGTAATATTTACTGCATAGACTGGTAAGCGCCCTAGAACGGATCTTTCTTTATTGGGGTTATGATACTTATAACACTGTAAACTGACTCCAGTTGAGACTGTAGAGTAACCCCACAAAACATCCGCAACGAGAGCCAACAGCTTGCCTGTCAGCAGGAAGAGAACCTAAAGAAGAAGCAGGTCAGCAATCGTATGAACCGAGCATCACAAGAGTGACCCCGCAACATCTTTGCCAAGTTCTTGCTGTTTGCTTTCTTGCAGCACCTCGAACTTCTGCTCATGTCTTTTGACAAAAACTTACCATGTGAACTGCGCATCGTGCGCCTGTATCACACAGTGATGTGTCATCTTGATGATGACCCTGCAGGTCGTAACAGGTGTCTTCTGCACAACAGCGATCGAGTCTGCGAACGCTGACAAGGACATAGCAGCGATCAAGCAGCTCCACAAGCAAACGACGCATGTTCAAGCTCTTCGAAAGATCTTTCATGAGATTGATGCAGACCAGTGCCATGTGGTAAGCATTGAGGACCTCAAGGATGCTATATCGAAGAAGAAGCTTTCGAGCTTCCTGGAATCCATGGGTATTTCGACTGAGGATCTTTGGACCCTTTTCATGACCATGGATGAGGACCAGACGGGCCTTGTCGGCCTGGAGGAGTTTGTCACCGGTTGCATGCAAGGTCGTGGTCCCGCCAAAAACCTTCAACTGGTGAAGATGAGCTACGAAAACAAAGTCACGCGTCAGGCCATCAAGAAGATTAGTGTTCAGCTTGCTGAACTGAGCAGATACGTGGTACTCCTTCGCGCCGGCGGGCTTCCCCAGCCCGAACCGGTCACCTTGAAACGCACTGTTGTCCCGCTGTAGGGTTTTTCCCGCCGACACCTATCGTATAAACTCCCAAATCCCGTCCACATCTCCAAGAGATGCGCCTGGTTGAGCGTAGTTTGCAAGATGCAGCTGCGGCATCATTTAGTCTTTGGCTTCGGGAAACTCGAAGCTGCTTGAATATTGCATAGCTGACGGCGCCGCATCTTTGATCGAAGAAGACTGCCGTCCTTGCTTCCTTTAGCAGCCGTAGAGCCCACGAGCCCACAATCCGTCCATGACGAAGCCGCCAAGGCACGACGTGCCTGACCTGAGCAGGATGCTCGTCAGCATTCGCAGTTCTGTGACAGTGTGGTCGTGAGGCAGTTAGGCCTCGTTGTAGGTTGTGGACATGAGTTAGGCTGTCGGGCGGGACAAATGTTTCATTGTCCATGGCAAAGAGTACTGTAGCCTCTCCCCTACAGTAAGCAGCTTTGCCGAGTCCAAGAAGCTTTGTAGTTGGGCCAGTTTTTAGGTCATAATATCCAGGCATCCATTCGGCAACTACGTGATTCAGCACGCCTTTGAACATGGTTCCTCCTCGGTGCGCAGGCGCAAACCGATGCCTTGCCTCTGCATGCATGTCTGCAGATAGATAGATAGACCGACGGACAGATGGATAGATGGCATTGTGTGGCTGCGTCTGTGTTGTGTTCGGCAGGTTTAACCCTGAGAAGGATGAGAACGGAACGTAGATGGAGCAATGACGGGAATGAACAGGTTGCAATGAGGAGAGCATCACATTCCAAGGATGGTGATGATTGCCGAGATGCAGCACAAGATACGAACAGGGGTGATACTGGCCGGCGATGGGACTGTTACGATTGATAAGATATGAGGCAGCTGCGAACGTTACAGTAACCTTTATTGGAATGTTTCAAGTCCAGCACTCCGTCATGACTGTCAGCATTGCTTGTACGCATAGTTTTGTAGTGGGGCTATGGCTGCACCATCTTGCCACCCCAGCTGTCCTCAGAATCACTACTCCCAGTCACTACAGTACCATCGCCATGACTATAGTGGTCATGGCCGTCTTAGTGAGCAATACTGCATTTAGCAGCCTTCGCTTCTTGCTGCTCGGCTTTGTATGCCGTTTGGCTCTCTCAACGAATGCTGGCTGGTAAATACCGGTGGTCATGATGCTGGTGATGATGCTACATGGTGCAGGAAGGTGGCGATGACGACAGTGTCAGTGATGCTGAACGCGAACGTGGCAATGATTCCGATGATTCTGATGATGATGATTATGATGATGATGATGATGATGCTGATTTTGATGATGACGCCGCTGGTGATGGTGTTTTTTGGGATGTTGCTGCTGATGATGATGGCGGTGAGAGTGCCCATGCCAGGAAGCTCAGTGCGGCCTTGGTCCCAGAGGCTAAACGCCTTGCTCGGCACAAGGCGCCTAAGACGGTTGGCCATTCAGTTGCCCCGTGGTGTGGGTTAGTTCTGGAGCGAGGCAACAGTGTGAGATCTGTCGAAGAAGATGGGTGTCCTAAGGGCTTGAAGCATTGTTACAGTTTCGTTGCATTTGCAGTTTTGTGTCGATGTGCCTGGTGTCTGCTCGCCGAAATCCCTGCAGGTAGCCAGCCACGTGATTGAGTGTGCCCTCGTGCACACCGGACATGAGGAGCGCGCGAACTTATTGAAGCAGAGAGTGCACACAAAAGTCATGGAGACAGTAGCCGCAGTAGCCGTCAGAGGGGCTGATGGCAGCAACTGAACAAGCCTCATAGCCCACTCAAGAATACAGTATATACCAAGTTTGCTACATGTCCAATGTGCTCATCACTCATCACGCTTGTAGCAGCACGTGTCGTCATAGATGCTGGTCACTAATCGTAGAAGTCGTCGTGTTCACGACAGCGGCAGCAGCAACAGCAACAGCAGCGGCAGCAGTAGCAGTAGTAGTAATAGTAGCAGTAGTAGTCGTCGTCGTTGTGATGAGGCAGTAGGTCGTGGTGGGTAGTAGTATGAAGTGGTAGCAGTATGCAGTAGAAGATAGTGCTAGGCGGTTAGTAGTGGTAGGTAGGTATTAGTAGGCAGCAGTAGGTGGTAGTAGGTAGTAGGAGGTAGCCGGAGGTAGCAGGAGTTAGTCGGACTTAGGAGGGGGTAGCAGTTGTAGTCGTAGTAGTAGT